TGGGTGGAGATATGGGAAGCAGGTGCTGCACTATGTATCTGTTTCAATTTAGCATGAATTATTCCTATTCTTTTTCTGCCTGGAGGGTTTCTGAGAACATGGTCATACATTAAGGCTATGGCCCCATGACAGAGCCCTCAGGAAAGGAGTACACTCTTCCTTCTGGGGGGTTGCCCCTTGGATACAGGTATTACAATATGTACCTCTGTATGACAATAGGGAAGATGACCAACTTGGCTAATAGGGCTAGGTATTGAATTACCTCCGTCTTTCACACATACATGCATTTTGGAGAATGTCCTTCAGTTACAAGCTGACCTTAGATGACTTTTTTTTTGTTTTTCCTGGTAAGAGGCATACATTTCCGTGATCTGAAGACCAGCTTCCACACATGGGTTTAATAAGCTTTAATTTATGTACATCAAGGTCTTGTTTTGAACTGGCTTGCCTTAGATGCCTTGAGCATCCAGTGTAGACAAGCCCAGAGTCCTTAGCTTTCAAAATGCACTGGTTTGTTGGCCAGCCCCAATGTTAAAAATCATAAGTTGAACCCCATAAGTTGTGGGGTTTGGTTTTTTTATTTTATTTGCCTCTTGGCTTTGAATCCTGTTAGTCCATGTCTGGGACATTTGGCAAGCTCCCCGCTGCAACTATGAAGGCTGAAAATTCCTTGAAATTAAACTAAAAGTAGTTATAGGATTTGGGGACCTGGGGCTTCAAGAAAAAAACCAAGCACCAGACTCACAATAAAAATGTTCTTTGCCAGGAGTAAGTATTTGGAATGGACTTTTAAGCCAGATCAGAGCTTCCATTTTCTTCTTTAACTCTTTGTTGTATTTAGATTAGGGATAATAGGACATCCCCAGGCACACCAGGCTGTTGTGAAAATAAGTTTCCTTAAAATTTGAGCAGAGGTAATTGTGGCCTGACAAGTATTTGTCTAAGATTGAGATAAACTTCCCTTGCTGCAATTTGAGACAGTTGCTCCTTGTTCTGTCATCAGTCACCACTGACAACAATCGACGCAGTCTTTTCAAGAGTCAGTGTTCCCTTGTGAACATGGGGGCAGAACCTGAGACCCCCTGCTACGTTACATGGATGGTGCTACTCACTGGTGCATCATGCAATAAGTGGAGACCCACTACACACACAAAGCAAGACTGGCCACAAGTGCAAAGTAATTATTGCACAATTATCTGGTGAATCATGCAATAAATGCAAACCTGCTACATGTGCAAAGATGGGTCACAAGTGCAAAATAATCACCCTGCAATTCTCACCATAAGTATAGACCCACCCAACACGGGCAGAGGAAGGCAGGCCACAAGTGTGACGTGATCCTCACCGAACTGAGTGTAGTGCACAATAAATGCAGACAGCCTACACATGTAAAATAAGATTGGCTACCTAATGTAATTATCACGCAACTCTCTGGTGAAGTGCACAGTAAATGTAGACCCACCACACACGCCAAGAAAGACCGGCCACAAGTGCAGCGCGATCATCACACGACTAAGCGAAGCGCGCCATAAACGCAGCCCGGCCACCCGTGCAAAATAAGTGTGGCCAAATAACGGCCCCGCAATTCGCTGGCGAGGCCCGCAATAAACGTAGACCCACGGCGCGTGCAGAAGAAATATCACCCCATAAAAAGAGGGACCGGAAAGAGCCAGCCAGCTCGGAAGTTAGTGCTTGGACATGGGGGCCATCTCTCGAGCTGGTTCCCAGCCGGCGTTGGTGTGGCGGGGCCGAGCTGCGCACAGGGCGGCGGGGAAGCGGGGTGGGAAGTGAAGGGGAAGCTAACACATCTCCGCGCTCCCTCGCAAGAGGGCGGGGAGCCGGGAGGAGGTTTAAAAAGTGGCGCGGGCGCTGAGCGGCACGGCTGCGCCCCCGGGCATCTCTCTGGGCAAAGCCTGTCCCTGCCCTCAGGGGGGCCTGG